TCTTCAGCGTTGGTAAGCATTCAAATACTCTTATGAAGCTAAGGATGCAAAATGTGGTTCCCCTCCCAGTGTCAAGGAAACTGCACTCAAAAGGACTTTATGTCAAATTGCAGGTCGCAGAAAGTCAGCCATCTACTTTTGCTGTTATCCAGGAGATTAATAGGAGAAAAGAGAAAGCTTACCAATACAATGTATTGTTACAGTCCAAGATAAAACAGATGAAACTTTCACTGTCCCATATGGTAAGAGTATTCAATATGGGTAGTTCAATCCAATTTTACAATACAAAATGAGACAAGTTACCTTCAAATTTTAAACAATCTCACCAATCCAGCAATCGCTTCTGAAGTTAAGGTTTACTTTCATCAAGAATTATAATGAAATTAGGCTCCTAATATATCTGACCTACAGCATGACTTGAGCTAGGGATATTTCATGGTGTTTCAAAGTACAAATGGGAAATGGTTCTCTCCCAACACTACCATCCCTTGACTTCATAAGCTCATTCACACATGCATATAAAATATAAAAAAAAGGGACAAACAAAATAAATCATTCTGTATTTACCTGACTGTAAGTCACCACAGATAAGTTGCTAGAGTGACTGTTAGGGGAGATATTTACAGAGTTCTGCGACAGTCCATTTTGATCTTGTTCATTTTGGTCTTCAGTTGGGCCCCATGAATTTTTACTAATTGGATTTGTACTTTGGCCCCCGGGGTCCTTCACATTGTTGTCTTCAGATTGCCGGTTTTTCTGTGGTGAAGCGAAAGGGTTAAAATTGCCTTCAATCTTGCGACAGGGTTGTGAAGAAAATTCTGTTTCAAATGAAGAAAGCTGCTGCGTAACTCCTAAAAGGCCTCCGATTTCAACACTCAGAATCACCCAAATCACATCTGAGAGCGACATAAAAGTACATAATTAAGATTAGTTTGACATTTATAACTTTTAGTGCTTAAATTCTTATGTTCCTAACAACCATAGCACTCAGTACAACTTGCATTTACATATTTTTCATCTACAAACTTTTTCTTGAGATGAACTTGATGTGATTGCACTAGAAAAAGTGCACAACAGATTCACTTGTATTTGCCTGGGCTAGAGTGTTCTAGGTACGCAGAGTGTAAATAGGCCAGGGTTGTCTACCTTCCACCAACTGCCAGCTCAAAGTGGAGAGGATCTCCAAGAAGATCACACATATCAACACAGGCATGCTACATCCTCATCAATGGTGTGAATCTTTGATCTTTTACTTATAAATTCTGTGGCGGATACTTTCTCTCTCACTAACACCTGAAGGAGGATGGAGGCTCCAAAAGTTTGTGTTTTCAAATAAACCGGTTGGACTATAACTTTGTGTCGTGTGATTCCTACCTTACAGCAGAAAAAGCTGAGACACAACCTGTGTAAAGGCCACAACTCTTAACTTTCTGTATTTTTGATTTGTGGATTAAAATGAGAATAGTACTGTTTTTAAAACCGAGGACTGGGGTAGGAATTGCTGCATTTAAAACAAGTTACTCAATACTCATTACGAATTCTGTTTACACTGTTGCTTTGCAAGCAGATGGGGAGGGGAGATTAGATAATATGGCACCAGGGTGAGAGTACAGGCAGTGATTCAGCTAGCAACAGGCAGCAAATGTGATCAGCTGTGGATGCCAATGCACATCTGCCTGGCAACAGTTCTCCGATTGCCTCCTGGGCAGGGGCACCTGCAACTAGTTCAGGTCATGTTGTATGGGGCTTTACAATAAAGGGCAAGCAGCTCCTGGCTTGCTGGAAGAACATTTTTATGTCCCTCTGTGCAGTACAAGTACCTGAAGAAAGCCAGTTATTTTCTCCCATCAGTTGCTGTAAGCTGTTGCCTTTAACCAGTATGTGTTATGGACCAGACCAGGCGCCTTCAAAATATTTTAAGAAGGTAACCTACATCTAATATTTTCCTATTTTTCAAGGCAAATGTAAAGTGCCTTGTTCCTGAGGCAATGCAACTAGTCAAACTACTCGACATTAAGCAAATGCAATTTATTTAAACACTATAGTTAACTCTATTGGAAAACTTAACTGAACAATAAATACAGTAACTGTTACTAATTAACTTCTCCAATATGGGATGTTATCCAGCTCGACTTCCTTCATTGTTCCAACTTTAAACAAAAACCCCAAGCCCACATAAGCTGTTTACTTTCTCAAAGACAGCTCGGAACCCCCTGTTCAACCTCTCTTGAAACAAAAAGGACAAAATAACATCTTAAAGTCAGAACATCGTCACAACATGGTCACAACATGCAAGATACTTTCTAATTATGTACCAATCAGCCTATGCTTCCTGCAAAGTGAAAGAATCCAAAAAGGAAGACGAACAGAAATGTTTGGGAAGCAAAATTAACATCTAATCAATCCTGTGGATGGGTGTCTGTTATTCCAGAGTTTTTATTTTCTCCACTAACAACCCCACTTAATTTTTTGCTGGTGTGTCTCTGTGTGTAAGGGTTTTAAAAGGAGGTTAGAGTTTCAACTAGCAGAGTTATATGTTGATAGTTCATAGTTTTGTTTACCTGTGGCGAGAACAATTTGCTTGAAATAAATAGCAGTTCTTGTCAAATACAGGAATCCAGTCAACATTTCCTGTTAACCTGACACAGGTATTTTAGGGACTGTGTACGTAAATTAAAACCCTGGGAGTGATGGAGTCCAAAAATCAGCACACTTGCCCAAGCGGGTTACAAACTTGATTCAGGTTTACAAAATTATGATAATAGATATGGTAGATAGGCAGTAACACATTATGGATCCCGTTACTAAGGGGCAAGAGGTTTAGAGGGGATACAAGGAAGAATCACTTCACACAGATGACAGGTATCTGAGGTCACTGCCTGAAAGGGTGGTAGAGGCAGGAATGATCGAAACAGTTCGGAAGTATTTAGATAAACAATTGAAATACTATTGCATACAAGGCTACAGTGCTGGAAAATAGGACTACAGTAGCTAAGTGCCTGATAATCAGAGCGGACACAAAGGGCCTATTAGCATGTTGTACAACTCTAACATAATTATTTATTCAGGCATGTGGATATTGCTAGCTTTGCCAGAATTTCTTGCACAAATATAATTGCACTTGAGAAACACAAGTGCTAGTAAGCTGCCTTGAACTGCTACAGCTCTTGCGGTAATTATTTATATATCGTGACGTCCACGAGTTCCAGCATCTTTACCCAGAAAGTCAAGGAATGGCAAAATAGTCCCAAATTAGTCACCAAAGATCGACTTAGAGCAGAATTCGAATGTGGTGTTGCATGCATCTGTTACCCTTGTCCTTCCAAATGAAAAAGATTGCAGAGTTGGAAGGTGCTGTCAGTGCAACCTTGGCAGTCACTGCAGTCTACTGTCAAAGTAGTACACATTGCTGCTGCTCAACGTTGGTGAAGGAAGTGAATGTGGAATGTGGTGGATAGGGTGTGGATCAAGTGTGCTGTTTTGTCCTGGATGCTATTGAGCTTTTAGGCTGTTGTTGGAGCTGCACGCATCCAGGCAAGTGGAAGGTTTTCACTCACACGTCTGACCTGTGCCTTGTACATCATCCCATTTGCAACTCCAGGGGAGTTACCCATTGCAGAATTCCCAGCCCTGGACAATTTTTGAACCCACAGTATATAGGTGATGCAGTTCAGTTTGTGTTCAGTAATGCCCTCATGATGTTGTTAGTGGGGAATTCAGCAATATTGATAGTGGGGAATTCAGCAAATCCAGGGCTTGCTGTATTTGGACATGAACTGCTTTAGTGTACAGGTGCTACAAGTGGTGCTTAAAATTATGTAACCATCACTGAATATCTCTGTTTCTCACTTTATGAAAGGGAAAGGTCATTGATGAAGCAGGTGAAGGTAGCTGGGGCTGGAACACTACTCGTCGATACTCCTGCAAGGACGTGATCCTCAGATTGAGATAAGTGATCCCCAATCTTTCTCTGCGCTAAGTATGACTGTAGCAATGCTGCACTTTTCCCTTGACTCATACTGACTTCAGTTTTGAAAAGGGTCTTGGATGCCAAGTTAAATGCTGCCTTGCTGTCAAGGCCAGTCACTCACACCACCAGTGGCATAACTTTTTCCTGGAAAGTTTTCAAATGTTAGAATATTTTGCATCAAGAGAAATAATAAATCTATCTAGTTTCCTTTGTTGATTCCTTGGAAGGCAGGCTTTGAATGCCTTATTCCTGCTCCAAATCCTACTTGTTGAACAACATGAGCCTTTTCAGGTCGTTTTCAAATTGGTCATCTTTAATCATTACACAGCTGACTTGATCAGCAAAGGGCGGGGGGGGGGGCACAATCATTGTAATCAGTTTCTGCTGCATTCCATTCTTCTTGGTTTTGCCCATTACTGTTGGCATCTTTCCATCACTTATCAGAGATCAAATGAGTTTACTTCCTGTCAGCATCTAATATGAAACAGTAAAGATTTCTTCTTGAGGATGACCCATCTTCCAAAGCCATACACAATTCCCAACTACAAAGGTGCTTTGGAAGACGTTTCCCTTGGCCTCAAATACCAATCAATAACCAGTGAGGGGTAAAAAAACAGACAAATGACTCTCATCATATGGTTTCCAGGCTGTGTAGACGAAATTCACAACTAGTCAGCAATACTTCAAAAACAAAATGCTCAAGGGTGTGAATTTGTCACATGACAAAATAATGGTTCTAACCCATCATCCAATCAATGTCTTATTAGCTGCGTAGGCATTGCAGCCAACTGCATGCTTGATAATATTAGGAACTAAAAAAACTAAGAGCCTTAAGGCATTTCTGAAGAAGGGTCTCGACCCGAAACGTCAGCTTTCCTGCTCCTCTGATGCTGCTTGGCCTGCTGTGTTCATCCAGCTCTACACCTTGTTATCTCAGCTTTATTAAGCTGTTGCATCGCTGTTATTCAATAACAATCTGTGATGTCAATTAAGTTTTGTTCAGACTCTGCATTGGTCTCAAGCCCATTTACAGCATCTCCTCTATAAACGTGAAACAATTTTTAACATAAATTAGTGCAGAAAAGCTCTCTTTCTTTGCTGATTCACATGGTTAATGTATCACTTTCTACAGCTTGAACAAATTCGAAATAAAATAAGCTCTATCCTCTATATTCAAAATTGTGCCTAAACCTTTTGCATATAGACTGTGCAACATCTTGCTATTACTGAGGAGTTGGATAAGGACAGAGAAATAGAAAAGGGGGAGAAATGCAAGGACTTAAGAGTAAGCCTGAATGAAATACACAAAACATCATACAGCTTGTTTCAGAAAAGCAATGGTAGAAATTACAAGTTTATCTTCCAAACTGCCATTTCATCACATGCTAATCTTTATCAAAAACTTACATGAATTAAAACTGTTATTCAAGACGACAAGTTAGGAGGGAAAGTACTACAGGGGAGCAAGATAAATACAGCACCCAAGTTTTAAGCATGTATAAACATCCTAAAGCGGAATGTCTGTCTTGTTAAACAGAAAGAAGATAAAACTATTGAATGATGAAGAATCAGAATCTTTCTATAAAGCATATCGAAGTTTCTTCTCTATGTGGCAGCATAGCTGCATAAATGGAGCCTCAGGGGTCAGAATGTTCCTGATAATCTGCACACATCTCAAGCTGCTGATACTGTGGTTTTACTCTCGTGATTAAGGATTGATCCAATCATTAGGCCACATAGTTAAGAATGACCTTTTGCAAGCCTTTCAATCCAAAGGTTCTGCAACAGACCAACTGTATAAGAAACAGTAGTACAAAATGAAAGAACTACCTCAACTTCATGGTCAAATTACCAGCCTTCACAGGCTATGACTGACTCAACATGTTTGAAAATCCCTGTCCCAGAGATGTAAACATCAACAAGAAATGCAAGACCTGACCACCCTCTAACAATATAATGTTTTATGTAATGAGACTATACATTTACCTGTGAATTTATCACAGGTTAATAGGCCTTGCAGAACATTTATTATAGTCATTTTCTAGAAATCCAAATAGGCAGGAAGTGGATTGAGCACTCTCAGATTATTGGAACTGGAATTTTAATACACTGAAGAAAGAGTCAAATTATTTATTACTTAGACAAGAAAATATTGGGACGAAACATCACTTGCCCCAATTCTTCTCAAATAGGTGGTCCATTTTATCACATTACCTCCAAAGTAAAGTCCAGTAGCTGTACACATACGCCACTGTCCTTGGTACATTGCTGGCGTTGTCGGACTTCGCATCTGAACGCTGACATCAGTAACTTCCTGAGGTTCCAGTGACCGGACCATCACCATGTTAACATGCCCAAATTGATCACCTCCCACGTATTTTAAGGACACACCAGGCGGCCATTGTTCTGTGCCTAGGAGGAAGGGAAAACAAGGGGAGTAGTACTGTCTGTCCAGGCATATCGACTCAAGTGGTTCAAAAATAATTCAAATTGGAAAAATTATTAACTTAACCATAATATAATTCTCCAAATTATCCAAATAAGGGAAAAAAAAACTCTTCTGCAAACTATTTCTGAAATATAACAATGAAATGGAGAATGAACAACTACTGAGTAAAGAATAAGATTTAGTTGGCACAAAACAAATTCCATGATCCATAAAGGGTAAAACATGGATTTTCCATCCAACATGATGTGAACAAATAATGTTTAAAATTTTTGCCTTTAAATTCCCGAACAATAAACAAGAGAAGCATAAACTACTCTTATTTGGACATATCACTTAGCTTCTGTAACACTGTGGGTTAAACAGCACTCAAATAAAATAAGCTTCCACATACTAAATTATTGAATTGCCTCATATTCCAAATTGTGCCATTTATTACTACCAGTAACTTACTTTGATTCATAAACAGACCTGACAACAACCTTGTCCCATTACATGTTATGGACACGTTTTGGTTATAAAATGATAAACGTAGTTGTGTTTTGCTGAAAAAGGACAGATTTTGTCAAAGCTTTTCATCTTGCAAACATCAGGACAATTCACAGGAATTTTAAAGTAAAGGGAAAATAACATTTCTACTCTACAAGGAGAGCTCTGGTTTGTTGGTAAATAGAGTCTGATTGCAGGAGGCCTTATAATAGAGAATGCATCAGTAAATCAACAGTCAAAATTAACTGGCATTTTTTGCCAAAATTTTAAAGCAGGCAGGTTGACTCCGATGGTATTGCAACGAGAAATGAACCAGACAATGACTGTCACCTTTTTTGCTGAGTTGAAACTGGCACACAGTGTGTACAGATGTTCTTTCTACCTGCAGAAGAAAGCCCCTGGGTATTAAAATATGTACCTTCCAGGACACTGAGGTGCTCCACAATACAAGCCCAACTCACAATCCTGAATTGTTTGTCGTCAGATTAATTGTCTGTACACTCAAGACTATTTAGTAAATGTTGTCCAAAGACAGAACCACATCTAATGTTGGTCATTGTTGAAAATTCTGCAAGTATACTCTCGTGTATGGGCTGCACTTTTTTGTTGTAATCAGTCAAAGGGATTTTTTTTTGACATGATCTTCCATCTGTCTTTAGGAAATACCTAACATCACACTGGCACGGAAATTCCCATACCACATTACTCATTTTGGTTAGATGGCTGCATGCTATCAACAGCCATCAATACGCATGATGCACCTGTATAGTTGCAGTGTAAAACATGTAGCTTTAACTGTTTTGTAAATTTTTGAGATAACTTAACCTTCTAGGTAAACCTCAGGTAGACTGAGCACTGTTCTGTGCAGACAGAAAGATGTACAAACAATATGCATATTTCAAATCATAACAGGTGACAGCCATTCTCTGGTTCATTTTTCAGGTCAGTGCCTTGGCCGATCAGTCAATTTGCCTGGTTTAAAATTTAACTAAAGCTTGGCAATTGAATGCCACTCATCATTAACTAATGCATTCCTAACAGCAACAACTTACAGTCCAATGCCAACCAATCAACTCTCTCCTCTCAGACAGCATAAATATTGTTTTTCCTTTACTTTGCTATTTCTCGTGAATTGCCCTGAAAAGTACAAGACAAAAACTTTGGCCAAAATTTATCATTTTTTGAGCAATACTCCAGTTGTGTGTTACCAAACGATTAGCTGTATTGTATTCATGACCAATTTGGAAGCTTGACCTTTTGTCCAGGAGCCCTATTATTGTTCATTAAAAACGCTCTGTAAAACATCCCAATCTCAGAAGGGAAAATCTGCAATATTTCACAGTTCAAAGGAACATAATGTTAAAATACCATATTACCTATCTTTAAATCCTGAGATCTCAAGAAGATTTAGACAATCAAATTCAAATGACTACGAATGGGAGGGACATTTAGTTGGTTAGTAAAGTGTTGCAACACAGTGAGCTTATACCACAGCTTTCAACGTACATGTTTCTGTTTTTCAGTTCCATAAAACAGAATTTCAGCTATACACAGTCAAAGACTGGCAGTGATATATTGTGACAGTGATATGCAAAAATTGAGGCGACGGAAGAACGAGCGATTTTAGTTATCAATTTGAGCACAATTCAAGTTTCACATAGTTGTATGACAAAATGCCAGTATTAGTGGTACTATTAGAAAGCGAGACTTGGACAGGGAGCAGAAAAAGACCACATTCAGGCCTACCTAATGAATCAGAAGATGAAATGCATGAAACAGCTGCCCTTTCCACAAGGTTTAAAAAAAAATCAAGTGTCAGTATGGTTTTCTTCAATAGTGGCATACCATATGCTAATAATGGTTTTGCAGTGAATTACTTCTCAAAGTAGACGTAATTCGGTTGATATTAAATATTAAATGCTATACAGTTACTACTGCATCTACACTGTATTCAAATAATGAACTATTTTAAAGTTATATCCTGTTCCAGTTTAATTATTTGATTGCATGGTTTCTATAAACTATGCCTCCCAAACATGAATTATCTCCATAAACACCCAGAAATTGTATTATCACTTTTCATTCTTCACTCTGAACAGAGATGCTTCAAAACAAGCATGGCTATCACCTCATATTTTACTTGAGGAATGATGTTTGGACTTAATGTGTAATGTATTATAACAAAATGATTTGCTTGATCAAAGCTATCATTGTATTGTTTTCATCGCTAATGCGGACACATGACAATGTCTCATTAAACTAAAGCTTCCACTCCATCATTAAACAAAGTTTATACCATAGCTGGTATTTCCCTTAAAACCAGCAGCCCTTCTCACCAGCTGAAGCAAGTGTCCTTCTGTTGGTCCCAGAATCAGTTACCTGCAGAGGTGCTTCTGCCCCTCTGAGGAAAGATGTTCAACCTCCAAGAGATGCCACCTAATCACGTGGCCAGCAACTATTCTGTCCCAGCAGCAGCACCAGTGGGGTTGTTGATCCCTGCTGTGACTGTAGTAGCTCCAAGGACAGCTACCATTGAGGAGGCTCACAGTAAAGGCAAGTAGGCTCAGTGGTTAGTCAGGGCAATCAAGTTGGCTCCAGTGAGGGAAAAGGTTTGAAATTAGAGGGCCCCTTTCAGCCCTAAGCTGTAGAATGCAAGGTGCCCAAGGTGTTGATGGTAAAATGCCCAATAGTAATAGGGAGAGCCCTGTAAGAAATATTAACTGGCCACTAACGGGCTTCAATTTGCCTAAGAGCAGGCAGTTCATCTGCCACCTACTCTGCTGCTGATATAAAACTGAGATGGGAAGACAGAAATCATCTGTGGCCTTGACAAGGGCCGTTGCTGTACTATGACAGGGTGGTTAGCCAATGAGAAGGATGAAAACACAATGGGAAAAAGTGACTCAAATTTGGTGGGCACAGCACATTCCAAGATTTTGCAGGAAAAGAAGCTGGATAAGATGCAGAAATTTGTAAGGATGAGGGATTTTTGTTTGAGGGGTGGTGGTAATGACAGATTTGAAGCTAACATGGTTAGTAACAGTGGTAGTACCCTTTGAGCCAGGAGGCCCAGGTTCAAGTCCTACATATTCCTGAGGTGTGTAACAACATGTCTGAACAGGTTGATCAGAAAATAGATTTTCAGCAATAATGCAGGAGCCAGGAAACTAATGTAGATGGTTAGCAACTCAATGGGGTCAAGTCGGAAGATGAATTCTGGCAAAATAAAAGCTTAAAGTTGAGGCAAGGAAAGGCAGACCAAGACAAGGTCAAAAAAAGAAAGCAGCAGGGGCAGCTGATTAGACGATGCCGCTTCTTCCCACTAAGAGCTCCTCAATCATTGGAGATGAAGTTGGAAGAGATAGGCAGAAGGATTTAAAGCAATAGACTGCAGTACAGAATAAAAGTTAGGTGTTTTCTTTGCATGCCAGGATTATCCTTGAACAGTAAACAGTTCTAGCAGGTCAAAGCAGAAACCAGTAGTGTTTCATATGATCCAGCCAAATCTGGTGAGCTTCAGCAAATCCATTGACTGCCATATCCGTTCAAGTTTGATTCCTTCATTTATAGAATGGGGGCCATATCTCAAGGAACAATCAAGGTGACAGCGAGGATTGTTTCTTTGATCAGAATTAAACCAAAGTTTTTTTAAAATCCTAAGTGGTCTATTCACTTGATTAAGTAAAGGAACATAAGGACACTTGTATTCATACAAGACAATTGATTCATAGGCTACTGTAAGTAGAAAGTGACACTGAATGAACTACATTTGAGCAATATAAATAAACAACATTCAATGCTGCGCAAGTTTTGTGAAGGCCAAAAACTTACATTCTCTCTCAAGCTCAACTTGAATCATGAATCAAATAAACAGGAAAATCTGCCCCCCCCCCCCCCCTGCTTCCCTCATAGAGCTGGTAGAATCCGAATCCCTCAGCTGTGGAAACAAGCCATTTGGCCCTTCGAGTCCACACTGACCCTCTGAAGAGCACTCCACCCAGAACCACCACCCTTACCCTTTAACCCCACATGTCCAATGGCTAAGCCTAGACACTATAGGCAATTTAGCACGGCCAATTCACCTAACCTGCACATCTTTGGACTGTGGGAGGAAACCCACACAGGCATGGGGAGAACGTGCAAACTCCACACAGGCAGTTGCCCGAAGCTCGAACTGAACCCGGGTCCCTGACACAGTGAGGCAGCAGTGCTGAACACTGAGCTACCATGCCGCTCCACGATGGTTACAATTTCAATCGCCAGTTGGATGCCCATAACCCTGATGTCCCTTACTGATTAAAAGTATTTAACATATTAAATGACACAGCCTCTACATCCATCTGTGGTTAAGAATTCACGAGATTTATGACCCTTGACAAAGAAAGAAATTCCTCCTCATCTCTGTCCTAACTGGGCAACATCGTACTCTGATACAAGTGAAAACAGATCACATATCCCTTGTCAAAATGAGATTGCCTATCCAGCTAATTAAATTTGCTCACTAAATTCTGTATCAACATCATCTATTTTGCTTCTGTTGACTGCTGTCTCCTGCAGTCAAAATGATAAAAGCCCCCACTCCGCATGTGGCTGACTATTCCAACATTACATTCTCAATGGACTCAACAGTTTGCAAACCATGGCTCACAGGAGTGATGGCTTGAGCCTACACGATCAGACCGTTTAAGCGTTGACTTCATTTTGATTTACTTTCCTTTAAGCCATTTTAAAATTTCTATCTGGTAACTCTCCAGTGGAATCAGAACTGGGATAAGTCCATGCCCCATGTCAACCTGTAAGCCAGACCCCAGAGTATTAACATCTGCAGCTGCATGCCTGGGTATACCTGAACTTTGCTAAACTGCCATCTTTAGCTGTAACTCTGCCACAGACTCTGTCCATTTAGATAAACATGCTCCGATTTCTCTCTTTTTAATAAAAATTGAATTGTGGAAGCAGGCCATTCAGCCCATCAAGTCCACGTTGACCCTCCAAAGAGCATTCCACCTGATGCACCCCCCCCTACCATATCCCTGTAACCCTACATTTCCCATGGCTTATCCACCTAACCTGCATATCCCTGGACACTTTAGGTAATTTAGCATGGCCAATCCACCTAACCTACACATCTTTGGACTGCAGGAAGAAACCTATACAAACACGGGGAACATGTGCAAACAACACACTGACCGTCGCCCGAGAACAGAATTGAACTCAGGTCCCTGGCGCTGCGAAGCTTTGTATACTTTCTTAATGATTCACTTCGATTTATCGAGTTGACAAATATTTTGTCCTGTAAATCGGTTTTCTGCAAGTATTGCAAAACTGGGAAAATTCATATTGAGGACCTTAATGCCATTTAACTTTCCATGTTGAAACAGTTGTGTATTTCGTAGGTTCATGGATCATCGTTTTTTTTTTTTTTTTTTTTTTTAAGTGTGAGTAACAATAAGTCAATTTGTAAATACAGCAGCCACTGCTTTTTCAGAAGATTTCTGATCAGGTGACAAATTTAAAGAAAACAGGAAGAACTGATATTTTAAAATATTAATATTTTAAAAGACATGCAGAAAAAAAACACGGATTTTTAAATGTGTGTTCTGCTGCTAGTTTCATGCCTTTAATATTGCTGACCATTCCCATTGGCAAATCTCATATCCCTTGACTCAGAGTGCTTAAAACATACTGCACACTTGTAATTTGCAACTACATATTTGTATTTTAACCGTATATATTTACAGCATAAAAGTGACATTTTCTTACAGTAACTGGAGAAAAATTCCACTGCCCCACAACTCAAGACTTCCTCGGTTTTAAACTATTTTTCATAAGATCGCACTGTTTCTGCTTCAACAATGTCCTGTAGTAAACTATTCCTTTGTTCATCATTGCCTTAAGGATATCCTAATTTTATTCACATTTCCTTAATTAAAAACGACTAACTATCAACCATTCCTTGCTGACAGACTGAAGTTTTTCCCCTTATTTGATCAGTTTTTGTAGCCATCTCTGATCTAGTGGTAAGTCAGCAACATCTCAAATGCTCTGTACTTCAACTGTGACCAAAGTACAGTTTTTCATCGTTCTTGGATCTAGGAGTACGGTGCTAAAGGACAAAGGCATCACAAGTATTTCTCCCCTTTTGGAACAGGTACGCAAGGTAACAGCCAACAAGTTGTTGAAATTTCACACAAGGTCATTGGGAGCAAAACTGGAGCTTGAAAGTGCATGGTTTTGGTGTCATCACTCTTTCTTCATTTTTCTCATGTTTTGCTTGAAACTTTGAACTGATGTTGAGAGTTGACATTTCGGGTTTGAGCAGCAGCTTGTTTTAAAACAAAGCAAAGAACAAATAAGCTGATATTTGTTTCGGAGAAGGGGCCTGGCAAGTTAATTGCAAGTTGATTATTGTTCTAAGGACACTGTACATGTTTTAGCATGTAAGATGCATTATGCTGGAGGACGAGCAGACGCTAGGATATTAAGAGGGGCTATCGCAGTGAGGCTGATGCTGACCAGTCGAGCAAAGAGAATATTGAAAGAATTTAAATCACATGTTGAGCTGGTTTTTGTTAGGCAGAAGGCAGTTTGGCTGTTAAAGCTTCCAGACGGAGCTTTGGCTGGTTTCTTGTTACCCTCAAGTTACCAACTTATTGAAAGTTCTAAGAAAATAAACCGAGTTTATAAGAAATAAGTGAATACACCTTGCAGTCTGCTGGAAGCTGTCTGCATAAAGCAATGACTTCAGAATTCAAGTAAGACACGCAGTTTACTTGCCTGTGAATAAACTAGATCCATATAAGGTTCTGGGTACCTAGGTTCAAATTCAACATGGCAGACGGTAGGATTTGAACTCAATAAAAAAGGGTCTGGAATTAATAGCTTACAAGTGACAATTGTTGATTATTGGAAAAACTCATCTGGTTCATAAATTTTCTTCAGTAAAGCTAACTGCTGTCCTTGCCTGATCTGGCCTACACCTGGCTCCAGACCCACAGCAATGTCGCTGACTCTTAAGTGCCCTCAGAGCACTCAGGGATGAGCAATAAGTGCCAGCCAAGCCAGCAATGCCCACATCACTTGAATGAACTAAAAGAATGTACTTTGATGATTTGGTCTTTTAGGGAAAGGGAATATCTTCAAAGTTTGGAAAGAGGTTTAAAAAAAAAGACAAAGATAGATTCAGAGTGACTGGAGAAATGGGCAGATTAAATTTTATTGTAAAGTGACACTTTTTGAAAAGAGAAATGACAACACAATATAAATCAAAAATCATATCATCTTCAAGGAGGTGCAGGAACAGACACACTTATGGATAGCTGCTTAAAAATCTTTGAATGTGGCAGGGCAAGGTGATCAGACCGTTTTAAAAAAAATGCATATGGAATTCCTGGCTTTATAAACAAGAATCATATTCAAAGGCAAGGAAGCGATAAGTCTTCATAAATTACTAGGGAAATGTCAGTTTGTTTAATGGGCCCAAATTTTAGCTGTTATACTATAAAAAGTTGGCAAAGGCTTAACAGATATGCAGAGAATAGTTAGGAGAATGGTACCAGAGATGAAGGATTTCAATTTTCTGAGAAGACAAGAAAAACTGGAATTGCTCTGTGTAGAATACAGAAGGTTAAAAGAACATTTAACAGAGGTGATAATTATTTCTCCCAATCCATTGTTTCTACTCATAGGACAGTCAGTATGTGGAGAATACAGACTTAAAACAGGCAAAAAAAATCCACCATGGAAATTTAGAATATGAAAATGAACTGCCTGAGATTTAATTTTTTTTATATTATCAGTTATCCTTTATTCATACTTCCTTTTGGCCTCTCCACTCAACTTAGCATCATAATGTTCCCATTGTTATTCTTAATATCAGAAACTTTCTGTTTTAAATTGCAATATTAATTTCCAATACAGAGTTCCGACGCTTTGGAATTCCCTGACCCAAAGGGCTGTAGAGAACAAATGTTGAGTAATTCAAGGCAGGGACAGATCTCAGTTAATTGAGGAATAAGGGACATGCAAAGTGCAGTTGAGGTAAATCAGCCTTGATTGCATACAATGGCAAAGTCAGTTTGGAGGCAAATGGTCTATTCCTACTTTAACATACGTTTTTAGTTTTTTTTTCTTGCTTTATTACTCAAATATTAACATTGTCAATATTTTTCCATTACAGTTTCCCATGCCCTAACTCAATGTAAAATCATCATACCATAATTGCAAACATCATGGAGGGGCAAGTGAACGAAACTGGACTGTGACAAGTTTGCAAGTGCAGTTTTTATTATACATCGAAATTCACATTCATTTTTATGTACATATTACCATTGTAAAAGTTAGAATTCACAGTTAAAATAAAGGGGGCTTGAACATCATTTCTGGGCCCTGGTCCAATTACCAGCATCCACTTATGTCTATGTTTCTGTGGGGTGCCTTTAGATGTGTCCTTCCACTTAAGATGGAAATCAAGAATTACAGCCTGGTTAACCTGCTCCTCCATTCAACACAATCCTGGTTGGTCTTGGACTTCAATTCCATGTTCCTACTTGCTCCCCAAACATCTTGGTTCCTTGAAACAATAATTTTGTCTGTCTCAGCCTTAAGTGTATTTAAAATGGAGATTAACAACCTCTAGGGTGGAAAATTCCCAAGATTTAAAACCCTTAGTCAAATAATTTCACTTCACTTCAGTTCTAAAAGATCAACGTCCTAATCTTACAAAATCCCAGCCCAACAAGGTAATTACCTGTGTTCTGTATCCTCCATGTTTTGGTGAACTGGGTGTCAGGTGGAACAGACTCTCCTTCTCCTATTGTAACATCTTCTACAAATGACATAGAAGGTGCATTTATATTTGGGCTCTCAAAGTCATAATAAGCACCAATGGCAGCCTGCAAATTCCTGCAAAACAAAAAACAAGTTGCTCAATTAATTATCTTGAATAAGGATATATTTGAATTTCTTTCGAGTTATCATACTGGAACACCTCCATATATATCCTCAGAAAACCAAATTCATAAAATATCGTGGAAAAACAGGTTTGCCCATGCAAGGGCAAAACTTAATTTAACTTGCAAGACAGAGCAAATAGAACATAAACACACAACAAGCAGTATTACACACAAACACAATAAAATCTATTAACATAAAAAATGCCCCACAAGCAATTGTAAGCCTTTATGAATGGTTTAGGAGAGGTGACTGATATTTGGTCAAGATGTGTTTAGTTAGGTTTCAGCTGCAGATGATATTTGAACAAGAAGAAGAGAGTTGCATAATTTGGTCTAGAGGTGAAAAAAGTGTGCATAAGGATTTCAGCATTGGTGAGGGTAGGACAGATGTAGAGGTGGTAAGACAGGGGCATAGGTCTAAGCAAACAGTCTTTGCAGCTGAAGAGTTTGAAGCTCAACTATGGGTTTACCTGGATGCCATGGATGCGAGCACTCTGGTTCAGCATGAGCAACCAACCAGGAAAGGAGATGGAGTCAATGGCTTTGAACATCCTGATTTTCAATTGTAGGAAATCCTGGCTCATGCTCAACACAAAAGGACAGGATCAGGAGTCGGCCGTTCAGCCCCTCAAGCCTATTCACCATTTAAATCTATCACTGATGTGTCCTCAACTCCATTTCCCCTGACACCCTTTCCCAACTAGATCACCAATCTTGTCAACTCAAGTGAACACAAGACAAGGCTCTGCCCAAAGCTGAAGTCTGAGTGTCCAGACCTAATTCCTGTGAATCTGCACCCATAGCGCCCCCCCCGACAAAGGTTCATACATCGTTTCCAAAGGATGGTGCCCAAAACTGAACACAGTACTGCAGTTGGGGATTCTCTAGGCTAGCTTTCACTAAACCACAACTTCTTCCCCGTTATGTTCAAGCCTCACCTTGCCCGTTTGATTACTTTGTAACTACACACAAACAAGAGAGAAGTGCATTTCTTTGCCCTACCACAGTAAAGATTCATTGAAGTGAATAAATCTCACTTCCCCATAATAAATTCCATCAGTCACAGCTGCATGCATTCTGTCTGTTTATGGCCCTTTTGCACTTCCTGTTCCATCTGTATAACATACCGAACCTTATAACTTAGAGTTACCTGTAAACTTAGGATATCTAACTCTTCGTTTATCCAAGTCAATTAATATAATCATGAAACTGAGGGGCTCAAGTGAAGATCCCTGGGGAACACCATGTCTTATTCTACTAATCAGAATACATATCCTTTCTCTCACCTTGCTGTCTCCTAATAATTGTCAATTATCAAATAGCAGTATAACAAGAGAGGTTCACATGGTAACGAGGTCAAGGAAGGGTGGAATGTTACAGAAAAATGTCTTCACTTAAGTGTACAGCATATTAACATGTGAAAACAAATGATAAAGGGATGTTAAGGAGGGTGAGCATGTCGGTCAGTAATAGAAAGCCTGGGATGGATCATTGAACAACTTGTAATGAGACCACCCAGAAAGTGCAAGTGTGATAATTACAAGAATAATGTCAATGCAGCTGCCTTGAGGTAGATCATAGAATAGAAGCAGTTGAACGTTTGACTTTCACATTTCCAACTGTACTGAGGTAAGGCATTTTTCAGTGGCAGCTAGAGTTCCAAACTATGACCATGCTTCAAGGAAACCACCAAAAAGAATTAGGCCATTTGGGAAAGAATTCATCATAAAGAAACTTAACTATTTTCAAGTGCATTAAAAGAGTAGTATTTGCAGCAAGGATCCAAGGTAAAGCCATTTTAGCTGTCATTTTTAAAATTGTCTAAGTGAGCAAGTATTCTGCAAGTAATTTTAGATAATATGGCGGCATGAAGATTAAACACATTAAAGTCACACATAAATGTTATACTTTCAGTTTTTTCTTCACACCATTCAACATTGTACACAAATGACACAAAGTATACAAGACTCGACAAACATCAGGAGCTATACGATAGCAACAATGACTGATCTCATTCTCATCAGCTCAAGAGTACATTGCTGAATAATCATCAGAGACAAAAATCATTTTCCATCTGTCTCTCCCACCTTAACACTGTTGAAACTAACATTACAGCCTCTGCCACAACACTTTCCCACAACTCTAACAGGAAACACAGCGTTGACCAGAGATCAAAACCCAAACTGTGGCTCTATGAGGGCTCAATTAATTCACAAATAGACGATCATCAGGGAGCTCTGCATCATTTTGTAACCATAAACATATCGCAATCAAATTGATCATTTACACTGCTAATTTTGTCTTCGAATTACACAAGCAAAAGGTAGCACAAATCCACAGGTATGAACAGGCAAATAATCAGTTTCATAACTGTGCACTTTACGTAGGGCACTGCTAAACATTCAAGTGGCTGCAATCAAACTAAAATTGAAATGTACTTCCGTTCTCTAGTTCCTCCACCCGTCCCACTCCATCCATAATAGCTGGCTCAAATAAAAAAAGGGCTGAGATTAAACAGAATGCAGAGCAGCCCACTTAAATAAAAGCAACAGGTTGCAACCCCTCCAACTCAGAAAACGTTTCTTCCAAAATGGAGAAATTATATGCTACCTGGATGTCTACAAATGGTTCTTCGTGTTTAACACATGTGCTCCACATAACACTCTACATCCCAAAATCATAACAGCAACAAAACAACCCTACAAAGATAGTCTTTTACAAGAGGAGGCCCATCTCTGCCACACATCAAGGAGAACTATCAGGATATGCCCAGGAAGACCAGAGTCTGGAAATTGAGAGTGTACAGCCACCCATACAGAAAAACATTCTGAAGAATGAACCACTATTTCTGAAACTAACAGATAACAAATGTAGCTAGCACGTATTTTTTCAAAGCCAATAACATCCTAGTTGTTGCTAGAATCTGTCCACTCTATAGTGTGGTTATACAGTTCTAAAGAAATCACTGGATCCAGAAAATTATTTGTTTCTCTCTCCACATGCTTCCCCACCACGTGGTTTTTATTTCAGATCTCCAGCATCTGCAGTACAGGGGATCCCTGATTTACCAATATTACACTTAACAAACAATTTCTTATGGAATACTGAGAGAGTGGGAAGGTATGAGAAATGGGGAAAGATTGGATGGGCTGAAGTTGCTAACCTTGAAGCAACAAAGGTTGACGAGTTGGCCTCCTTCAGGGCATTACCTCACACGTATTTATCACGAATCTACCCACCAGAACAGTTCATTAATATCCTTCTACAGTTTACAGCTATCCTTCTCACAACTTACCACTCTATTTTCATGTTACAGTCAGACAGCATGGAAACAGACCCTTTGGTCCAATCAGTTCACGCCGACCATGTTCCCAAACCAAACTATTCCCACTTGCCCGGGTTTGGCCCATATCCCTCCAAACTTTTCCTATTCTTCATGTACTTATCCAAATGTCTTTTAAATGCTGTAACTACCTACATCCACCACGCTCTCTGGAAGTTCATTCCACACACTAACCACTTGTGTAAAAACAGTTGCCCCTTAGGTCCCTTTTAAATCTTTCTCCTCACCTTCAAAACTAAACTCTAGTTTTGAACTCCCTAACCTTAGGGAAAAGACCTTTGCTATCCCTTTATGTATGCCCCTCATGATTTTGTAAACCTCTAAAAGGTCACCCCTCAGCCTCCAACCTCCCAAAAATTCCTCAACAGCATCAAGGACACCAGAAATAGAAGAGGACGAGATAATGAGACAATTCCCACACAGCTGGATGGATCAGGAAGGCAGACACCCCATGACACCAACAGCATCGACAAGGACAGCTCTCTGAAACTGCTGGATCTGTGCCTCACAACCCACTTCACCTTCAATGACCGTATATTTAAATGAAATCAACAAAACACCAATGGGATTGCTGATATCAGGACTGATAGTAGAAGCAGCAGTGCAAAGCTTAGAACGGACAGTGCTGTCCAGTATCCAACCCAAACTCTGGGTCCACTATATAGATGACACCTTTGTGACTATCAAATGCACAAGGACTAAAGGAAACACACAGACACAAACACATCCTCATTGGAATAAAATTCACAAAAGAAGAGAACTATAACCGACTACCCCTCCTAGACATAATGGTGGAGCATAAGAACAATGGGGAACTCCAGACTAGCACGTACAGAAAGACCACCCATACGGACCAGATACTTAATGACACCAGCAACCACCCCAACACCCATAAACGGAGCGCCATCAGGACATCATTCAAACGAGCCACAACACACTGCAGCAACCCGGAACTGCGCAAAGCAGAACAGGAGCACTTATATGCAGTCATTAAAAGGTATGGATATCCAAAAAGTACAATCCGCCATTACCTCTCAGACAGACCTCAACAAGAAGACACAACATGGCCGGACACACCAGTCACCCTACCGTACAGGGATGTATCAGAGATGACCACAACACTACTCAGACTCCTAGGTATCAGGGTAGCCCACAAACCAACAACCACCCTATGAGAGCTACTAACGAATGTAAAGGATCCCATACCCACAACCGATAAAACTAACGTAATATACAAAATACCATGCAAGGACTGTGAGAAGCATTATAGAGGCCAAACTCAAAGAAAACTGACAATCCTGATATATGAACATCAACGAGCCACCAAGAGACATGACCAGTTCTCACTGGCCTCAGTATACATGGAAAAAGAGGCACATGAATTCGACTGGGACAACACATCCATAATAGCACAAGCCAAACAGAGACATGCCAGGGAATTCCTAGGAGGCCTGGTATTCCAACTGGAACTCCATCAACAAACACAATGAACTGGAGCCAATATACAAACCACTGAGAAACAGAACTGGAAGTGATGCCAACCACCCCAGCAAACCAAAGCATATAAATTACAAGTGGGACAGAACACCAACGCTTCACTGGAGGCACACTGACGAT